GAAAGCTTATGCTCTAATAAATTTGTTAGTCTCTAAGGTGCCACAAGTACTCCTGTTCTTTTTAAGTATTTGAAATCTTTTATTTTTACCATTTGTACACATTTTATTTCTTAATCTAAAATCATAGGCAGGCATCAAAGAATTGCTTGTAATTATATGATATATAACCTTTCAGCAATTTTATGTGGTCACTGACATAAAAAGTGTTACATTTTATTCATACTATATTAAAAATATAGACTAAACAATAGATATTATTTTAATTGGTGATATTGCATTTTTCTTTTGCCCAACATATTACAATACACACCAATAACAGATATCAAATCATAAATCAAATCATAAATATAATATGGATGGAAAAGAAGAGAAATCAATATCATAAGGGTATAAAATTAGTTAAGAAAGGAAAGCAGTAGAGCAAAAGAGGAAGACATGTAGATTGAACACTATGTGACTGTTTTAGAGAAAAGAATCCCTTGTAATGTTCCTGAGAGCTGAATTAATTTAGCAAGGCTTTTCTAGACTAGAACATATCTTTCAGAAGTGATTTTTCAAACTTGGTTAAGTAACTGAAAGTTACTAAAGAAATCTCTTTACAGTTGGCTACTTCATTTTGGGCAGTGGTTTTTAAAACATCTATCAGTGTCTTTACAGCTGTAGCTATATCTGCATAAAGGGCACTAACTTTTCCAATAAAGGATGCAAACACATCTCTGTTAAGTTGTACATGAAGCAACATACTTGTGACCAAAGCCTCAACTTAACAGGTGTAGAAACTACACTATGAATAATAGAGAGGCACTTAGGCCATCGCACAGTAACTAGGGTTCAGAACAGGTACTTGATCAAACTCTTCTGTCCCGGTTCAAGTTATGTTGTCTGAATGTCAGAGAGAATTCTACTGCAATCCCTCTGGGGATACCTTGCTCAAGTTTGGTCTGTTAAGGTATTTTATATTTTTGTAGTGAAAGAGAACAGTTCAGATAGTCTCCCATCTGTGACAACCTTTCATCCTCCCAGGTCCCCTCCTTTTCCCTTTTCTTTTCCTCTGTTCACTGTAAAGAAGAGCGAGTTCTGCACACTGAGGGATAGGCAGGGATGAGCAGTTACATGTGGTTTTACAATCAAGAAAGTTACAAGATGTTTAGCTGAAGAAATTGAATTTAAAATGGCTGCAGGACTTTCATATTTATCTGGCTGACTATGGCTGTCCTGTTCATACATGGTACAGTCTCTCTGTCTCAAAATTATATTTGATGTGGACATTATACAATAGTTATGATTAATATTTTCTTCCCTACAAAAAGTGAATCACAGAGACCAGATGACTCTGTGGAACTGGGAATGGGGTACAAAGCCTTTCATTTCTTGTCACTGAATCAAACCCAATCCAGGGATAGCTCAGTGGTTTGGGCATTGGCCTGCTAAACCCAGGGTTGTGAGTTCAAGCCTTGAGGGGGCCATTTAGGGATCTGGGGCAAAAATCTGTCTGGAGATTGGGCCTGCTTTGAGCAGGGGGTTGGACTAGATGACCCCTCCTGAGGTCCCTTCCAACCCTGATCTTCTATGATCTGACAGCACTTCATGTTCTCAGTCTATTTTCTGACTGAGATTCATATCAGTAAAATCAGCATTGAATGGGCCATAGAGACAGTATTACTCTCTGGCCTCCATTAGTAGTATCTCCAGGACAAGGTTGAGGTACAGTGACAGAGTGTTCCTGAGTTGGGAGGGGGAGAAGCCATGCAGTGCTGCTGTACGCCTTTTTTTGCAGATGAATGGAGGACTTCAGGCTGCCTTGTTTTCAGTCCAGCACTTTTCACCAAGTTCATTTAAATATAAGCAGGAGAGATGTAGTCATTAAGATGATTCACTTTTAGCCCTTTGTTGGCTTAACAAGATTTGATTTATATTTATTCCATGGTATGCACACCCCTCCTGTTAGCAATATAGGGAGTTGTACTCAGTGAAATAAAGATATGACATCAAGAAAAGGACATAATACAAACAGTTTTATATGATGTATGGAACATATTTTAAAATGTACTTCCTTGGGCCCTGATTCAAGAAAGCATCCCTGTTCATGACACCACTTAAGTACATGCTTCAATCCCATTGAAGTCAATGGGGCATAATCCTATGCATAAGTGTTGTTCAGAACGCGAATGGATTAATACATGTACTTATATGTTTTCCTGAATTGGCCCTAAATGAGGAAGCGGGGAAGATGAAAAGTTGACAAGCAGCAGAGTGTCAGAGTTGTGGAGAAGGGCAAAAATTAAAAAAAAACATTTTTAAATGCATGTCATGGTCATCACACACTTTACATGTGCATCTGTTTTTGTGGAATTTATATAAGACTGAACTCTAAATAAATATATTAATAAAAGAAAGTGACCTCTGAGATATAGAAAGCAGATGTAAAGAGGGTAAGGGACACACAATGAATGATGGAGAAGAATGCATTTGATTTGTGAATTTTACTTCCGCTCCCCACAAATGTACAAAAATTAAATCAGTGATTCCATCTTGTGGTCCTTATGACACAAAGTAACCACGTAAGCCTCAATCTTATGATTTATGATGCTACCTGAATTCCTTGATGAATGTGCAGTTGGGGTACATTATTTTATTTCATATGAGGTTGCTATATGTGCTGTACCGCAATAACTCCTTTTGATTTAGTGTCATGTAAATGTAGCTTTATATAACTCCTGGCTCTAAAATTCCAGAAACTATTATGAAGAGAAAGACAAGCTATTACCTCTTTATAAGCAGTATTAAAATCCTTCCAGTGTTTACTTAAACAGTGTCAAAATGATGCTTGTATTCTTTATTTCATGTAAGGGTGTGTTGTATGCCATACAAAATCTTAATAAATAGGAAGAATAATGTTACTGGACTCTCTCAGTGGGATGAAACCTAAATTTCAGTACATGCCTTTGTGAAAGTACAATTACAGCTGCAATATTAGTAAAATGATCTGTGTGGGATGATTATCTGGGTTGGTTCTAAATGTTACAATAGTATTCTCCTTATAGTTACCTGTTTTCATCAAAATCTTCTCTTCTATGACCATATCAGAATTCTGGGAACATTTTTTGTGTTGCTGGCTGTTTTCTCAAACTCTCAGCTAACTGATGGAATTTTTATCATTTCCATACTAATAACTTGGAATTTTAAACTTATCATATTGCATGGTGTGGGCTGTGTTGCACAGCATACCCTAGGAGCCCAGAGTGACTGTAGTACATATACTCAGTATCACCTAATGTGTGGTTGTATTCAGAAAAGTGACAGTATAGCAATGGCACCTTCTTAGTCATCAGCTCAACTCCCCTGGAACACATTCTGTTCTCAGTTACACCTGGGTAAATCCTGAGTAATTGTACTCAAGTCATTGGAGTTGCTCAGCATTTATAGCAATGTAACAGAGAGCAGAATTTGGTCCCCTGCATGTATTCTGTCTCATAGCTCTCTTTGCTTTTGTGATTAATGTAATTTTTTCCTCTTTTTATTTTTGTTAGTACTGTAGAAACAATGCAGTTAGAGAAAGTGAGCTGGATTGTAATCCTTCTTTTGCATCAGCAGAACCATTAACTAATTTCCAATCACGCAGCAAGTCAGTTAACCCTGCAGTTACATGTATTAGCAACAGTGGGATTCATAGTTGCAATTAAGGGTATTATTTGACCTGTAGAACCTTTATTACAGGTGATAGTACATGAGAAGGAAAGAACCCAACTTGACTTTCAATTCCCATATTTAAAACTTGCAGGATTGGCAGGTATAAAATAATCTTTTTAATTGTAAATTGTGGATATTTGAGTTGCCGAGATTAAACCTGGTGACCCATGATATTATTTTTAAAGTAACTTTTCAGATTACACTCGGACTTCAGTGGATATGTGAGAGTTCCATTCAGTTGTAATTTTCATAACAATTCCACTTTGAATATTGTATAACTTTATCCAATCTTTTCTGCGTATATTAACTATTTTCCTAGATTTGTTTCTAATGGCTGGCAAGATTTTTTGTTTAAAATCTCAGCATTGAAAGTGTTTTTATAAATTGTATTTCATTACACACAAACATCCTAAAGCCTAATGCCTTTCACATTGCTCACAGCTCAAATTTGTTGCTAAAATCACATTGCTGTAGAAGTCAATGTTTCCTTACTATATCAGCTCGGGCAATATCTGAGCCAAAAAAAAATTTTTATTTTTTATTTTTTTGCTTCTTTCTTTTAACTCTCTTGGGCCTCCTGGGCTTGCAAGGCTAAGCGAGGTGATCAATTTCCTTCTTAAGCTGTGTAGTCAGATAACTCATATTTAATACTGAATTTTCTAGAGCAGAAGATACTGAGTGCCACTGATATTTTGAAGTTGAAGTTTCTGTTCAAAGGAAGCATTTTAATTATCTAACCATTCTTATTCAAAATACCTTAAAACTTAGCAAGCTCTATTTTCCTCTCTATGATCTTAGCCTTTCTGTAGTTGTTGAATCCAGGTTCATTTGTTCCTCATAAAAGATTAATTTTAGAGAGGGGAGGGGGAAAAAGACAGTGTTTAGACAACCAAGAACTGTGCTTCAGTGCTTGCACGCTTTAAAGTAAGACTTTGCAGTTTGTTGTAGCTTTTGAATAAGCCCATCTCCTTTGTGAAGAATGCAGATCATTTTTTTTCTGGCACACAAAAAAAAGGGTAACTTAATATGAGTCTGACACAGTGTGTCATTTAGTTAAGTGCTTCCATCTGTTGCCTGCTGTTTCCCTTACTCTTGACCTCTCTTTCTTTCTTCCCCCTCCTTCTCCTTAGCCCCCCTGAGGAAGGCAAAGTTTGTTGAGAGCCCTCGAATCCCAGAGTCTGAGCTTGGCTCACCAACGCTCACTTCAGCACAGAAACTGGACGTTGATGCATACTGCCCTGGTAAGCATGCATGCAAAGCCTCTAGGACGGGCCCTTCCAGCACAGCACAGTTTCATATGCATTGTGCCCCCTTTTTCTAAATGATTGGTTGGCCCTTCCCCCAACCTAGTTTTATGGACTTACCCACTTGGCTTGGTGGCAGTCTCTAATTGATATCTGTACTTTATTTGTCACTTGTGGTTGTGTGTTCATGCGACACATTCCCCCCTAAAATATGAAGAAGTTACTACAGAGTTGATTTTAAGTGAATAAAAGCTGATCAAACAGCCATACTCTCTTAACACTGATTTTTATTACTGACATATCTTCAGAAATACTGGAATAAAACACATACTTCTGATGTATTCCATCATTAAATCATTTAATAGATAAGCATACATTCTTGTATATTTGCTATTAAGCACATCACATTTATTTCAGAGGTAGCCATTAATTTATGTACCCTGCAGAATTTAGGAACTTTAAAAGCGTATGCATCTTGTTAGAGGCCTCTGTCATAATCTGGTTAAAAACATAGTTGGAACTGAAGTATTTTATTTCCCTGAGTTAACCTTATATTTTTCTGACTTTTTGATCAGTTCATTTGGTAAATATTTTCAAGCATTGATAGGCTGCATACAGATGTGTGAATTCCATTACATCTTTATATAGCTGTATCTTGCTGAGGACTCAGTATCATTTCCCAGATTCTTCTGAACTTGTACTAGTTGCTTGGCAACCTCATTAAGGTTGAGAAGATAGTTTATGGAGCTGTGTCAGAGATGTTACAGTTACAGTCGGCTGCAGATCAGGGCTTAAAGGAGCAGGAAATGTTCGTTTTCAGATCTTTGCTGAATTCTGCAATTTTCTCTTCTGGATGATCAGTTAGTGTATAAGCTACAGGATCACGTGATCAACATATTCCTATGACAGAGTAAAATGGTAACAATTGCTTCCAAATAGTATGTGACCACGTGGAATCTTGCCTTAAGAATCATGTCCAGTACTTGAGTCAGTATCAAAGTACAATATCACTTTTGTCAGAGATGTGTTTAAAGAAAATGAATGATTTGGTGAAAAGCCATATATTGCACAGATATTAAGAGAGAACAGCTTTCTTTAATGCAATATGTTTGAAACAGAATAAAATTCTTATGGGAAAGTTGTTGATACTGGATCCCTATGCTCAGAGAATGCTTTCTTTGAGACCATATTTACTGTGAAAAGTGATCATTCTTTCTAAATGAATCAGTCAGTATTACAAACAGAATTTTACTGATATAACTTTTGCCCCTTCTGTGTATCTAAATATCTTCTACTGTGATAATCACAATTGGAAAAAAATACTGTCATGGCTGTATTAATAAAGAACTGTAATTGATTGCATAACTTGCTTAAAAGGAATTAAGAACTACTCTCTCTCTCTCTCTCAAATTTAATATGACACAACTTTTGGAGGATGCAGACACTCACAGAGGCCTAGCAGGCGACAGTCAAGAAAGGCTGCTTTGACAGTGGAGTCTTGAATTTTGCCCTCTGTTCTGCTTCTATAGCTCATTGATAGTGTGGATGAACATGTTAAAAATGTGTGAGGATTCTCAGCACCTCAACAACCGTAAAGTATACTTAACAAACAGAAAAAAAGGCATGCCTTTGTGGATGTCAGTGAGAAGCACTGGATAGGAGTAAAGACAGAGCAAGTAGATTATGGGAGGCCCAGAGGACTTTTTGTGTGTGTAGATCCACACGTCAAGATATCTGTCAGGGGGCGCCTGACCCCCTGCTGCCTGGTTGCACATTTGGCATCCAGCAGCCCTTTTAGTAGAACTGCAGTTTATTGGATCCCAGAGAATGCAGAGTCTGAATGGCTAGGCAGACTTGAAATGTGTAGTTATTTATGTTTATTTGCAATCAATATGAGAAGTTCTGCTGAATAGGAATAGACCAATCTATTGAGGAAGGACTTCCGAAACTGAGGCAGCCATTCGCACAGAAAAGGGAGTTTGTATAGTGTGCGATTTGCTGTTTTCTTCCTCTTTCCCCCCTCATGCCTTGGAACCTTAAAATGAGGTATGTACATGCAAGCAGTACTCCATGGGTATTTACTCTTTTCTTTTGTGGTAGAACTGGGTTATGCTTTAACTATCTGGATCCAGAGTTCCTGCTGTGAAAACAGTGGTAACCTGAAGGCTGGAGCTCTTGCTTTCTACTAATACCTTTTAAGAAATCCTTAGTCCTCTGTGAGTTTCTGCTTGATAGCATACAACCCTTGCTTACACAGAGGTGTTGTAACTAGCCCACTTTATTAAATGTCTAATAAATACTGCTGGGGGCACTGAAAAGGCTTCTAAAGCATTTGACTGTAAACATTCTGATTCTGTTCTGTCCCATGCTCTAGTGAAATTGTGTGCTGGGAGTGTGGGAATTCAGGGTGGAAAACCTCAAGTACAGACTGTTAGAAAATCTCTGTTTTAAAGTAGATATTAGTTTGCAGTTAGGAACATAAAATGCACAGAACTTGGCATTGCCATCTAGGTATGCATATGTGATAACAGGGTGGGTTGGTATCTTTTATTTTGTCTATTAGATTTATACAAAGTAAAAAGAGCACCAATTCCTTCATTATAGGTACCCGCTGATAGAACTTAAAATATCTAAAAGTCCTGTCACTCACTATGACTTAACTTTGGTGATTCCATTCAGCCTGACTCTCAAACAGCAATTTACAGGCAAATTAAATATTGAAACACTTCCTCTTTTCTAACCATCTCAAAATTCTCCACCTTCACAAATGCTGGGAGGAAAAGATGAGCTTTGGGCACAGGCCCTGAAGATCATAAAATTTGGACTACTTTAAATAGGGCTGAGAAACACCAGAAGTTGAAATGTCCTCACAGAGAACACCATGCCAGCAGCTCACCCTCTATTATACTACAAGGGCTGCAGCTCAAGCTTTGCAAGCGCAGAGTGGTTGTCCCACAGTATGACGGTCAACAGGCATGTAGAGATTTAGAAATCAGAAACACCTTTTTAAATTTCACCTGAAAACCATTAAGCAACTAGTGCAGATCCTGGAATATGTATAATAGACTCAGTGCATGATACTCCCATATAAGAAACAGACACCTGAACCCTGCACCAGGTTCAGTTTCAGGTGGTTATAAGATGTTGCTGTACATCGAGCACATGATAGCGATGTAATCTTGAGCTGACAAAGGTATGGAAGACAGTCACAATATCTGCTGTTATAAGAAACAGTCACAGCCTCCTGATGGTGGATAAATGCTAAAAAAATCATCCTAAATATGGTTGTAACCTGATCTTCTAATTAGGTTCCATATACACCTCTACCCTGATATAACGCTGTCCTCGGGAGCCAAAAAATATTACCACATTATAGGTGAAACCGTGTTATATCGAACTTGCTTTGATCCAACGGAGTGCGCTGCTTTACCGCGTTATATCCTAATTCGTGTTATATCGGGTCGCGTTATATCGGGGTAGAGGTGTAGTTCAAACCTGTACAACAAGAGATGGACACACACCTCAAGTTAAGGGACAGATGTTATCCTCGTGCCTTTGTCAACCAGGATCACCTCAGTTCTTGTGTGGACTGAGCTTCAACTAGCTAAACCTCATCCTGCCCCCATCTCAGGCAGACACTGGGTAAGGTTACTGTTGGGTATTTTATTCCTCCTTATTAGTTCTGCCCCTCACAAAAGCACAGGAGGATCCTTGGACCTGTAAGTCAGTGTTCTGGGCCCTTTAAGGCAAGCTTATGGCTCAGTTCAACTCTGACTTTGTTGAAGCAGCAAGGCATTCTGGGGTTGCATTTCTGGGGAAGCTGAGATTAAAGGCTGTAGCAAGGAATACTGGGAAAGAAGGCAGTTAATCTCACTGTACTCATAACAGAGAGAGATCAGGAAGGGGGGCAGGACCTTCATTGATTCTGGAAAAGGCTTGGCTGGGGTAGAGAGTCCAGGAGAAAAACCTTGGGAAGGAGTTGATGGCTGGAGAAAGAGCTTTCTAAAACTCATAAGAGCAGGGTAAGGAGCTCTAGAGAGGTGGAAGTCTACACAAAGACAGACAGGGCTGGGAGCTGGTCACAGGAGAGACCTGCCCCTGACATACAAGCATGAGAGGGGTTGGAGTGTACTCTGGGCAGCAGAAGTCCATAGGCAGTTTGAAGACTGTTGTGAGTCTTGCCCAACATCATATGGGACTTTTCTATCATGGTTCATATACACAAGAACACCAAATGAAGGTAGCCATGGCAACCTTAATTTTGGCATGTCCTCACTTTTGAGATCTGAACTTTTCAATCTGAATGCAGTTTAAACACAGGTTTTTGTATTAATATGACTAAACAGACCAAACTTGGTGCATCATCTCGAGGATGGTTAGAATATATAGAGAAAATGATTAATCCTAGCCTGAGTTATATGGGGTGGTACAGAAAGGTACATAAAAGAGAGAGATCAGTCCCCATAAGAATACAAGCAGTTTTTATGCACAAAATATTTTCAAAGGAATTTGAAATCATTTCTTTAATATTTGACCTGTTTAAACCCTCTTCTAAAATGCCTGTGTTTTCTGAAGGACTTTATCAAATACTATCAAAACATAGGTATCCCTGAAGGGGTAAAGTTAAAGAAAAGAAGAAAAAACACGAGGATAAAGATACATTTGAGTAGGGGTAGCAATAATTTGTAATGTGATCTGTGACAGGTAATCTAATTAGTAATACACTTAAAGGCCGTTTAGAGCAGTAAATAGTGATGAGAGGTGAACATTACCTACTCTGCGTGTAGAAATACTCATCTCCATTTGTGGTGCCTAGGGATGGAATTTTGCTCAGTGCTAAAATGTTTATTTTTAAATGTCAGGCACGTTTCAGCACATTACTAGGAGGTGGTTTCCTGAGTAACTGTTGTCCTGTGGTTTGCCTTTTGTGCTTGTATCATGCAGTATTTCTTTTGATATGTTGTATTATGGATCATTGTAGAATGTTACATTTTGGG